ACAGATAACCTTTATATTTGAAATTAAATTGTAAAAAACATGTTCTCTATGATTTAATAATAATTCAAATGTCATAATAAATTAACTAATGAACCGCAAAATTATTTTAGGAAGTCGTTCACTTAATAACAAATTTAACGGTTAACAAATTTTGTTGTAACAATTATCATCTAAGCTTACTGTTTTTCAAAGGTATACAGTATAAACATCTAGTAATTTAATGAAACGGAGATGATATATAATTCGCTGTTGATGTTTACACAATGGAAATGCATGTTAAATTTGATTGATGGCAATTTGTGATGAATGAAATTTTGTCAGTGAATATAAGGATCAATATGCGACCGAAATGTCAACCTCTTTCTAGAAAAACTTGCAGAGCTTAAGTTAATTATAATTGACTTGTTATTGAGGCATAACGTAGGCCTATAATAGTTGATTTATATACGCAACACACATTACATTTTGACTGACAGTAGGAAGTTAGTGTTCAGGGATAATTATAAACATGGATATTTCAACACAAACATGAAAGATGATACGATTACCATTATTGCTTGTAACCTGCGTTCGTGGTTATATTATCGATGATTTCTCGAAGACTGAACACATATAAATTATATAAGGAAAATGCCATAGCTAAGCAGTTTGTTAGGAGAATGGGGAAAAAAACCCTCAACAAATTTAGGTCAACGGCTGAACCAGTTATTTTCGTCTATAAATAAATCTATAAATAAACGAAGACCGATTGAATGCCGCAAGAATAATATCGTTTGCTCTTTTAATCTTAATTTCAGTTGTCACTCCTTGAGTAGACTTTATTTTGTTGCTATTCTAAATATATTCGCCGATTATTGAAAGAGGTCTTGTTTTTCTAGGAGCAAATAATTATTATTTTGAGCCACTTTTGAGATGTTATTTTTCCTATGCCCTATATCCTTCCCAGTTTCCTTCCATTGTATTCCAGATTTTTATCCCAGAGATCAAGTTTCCAAAAGTAGATTGGACTTTTAACTACGTTAGAATGAAAGTGTTCCTGCTTTGATATACACTTCCAATGAAACATGTTAAAACAATTTATATAGTTTTTTTCTGATTTACAGAAGGTTTACTACAAACATTTAAAAATTTCCTGGTAACCAGTTTTTTGTGTCTGTAAATTTTCAAGGAAAATATTTTCTCTAATATGTTCTATTGAAAGCAGATCGCTTTAAAAATATAGGTTTAGAAATATGCAATTTAAATATTGAATTTTATCGATAAAATCATAACACAGATTGTAAACATAAAATAGATGATGATAATTAATTGTTGAGTTAACAAACACATAGAAATAAAGATGGTTGCTTTCTTGACATGATTGTACCGCTGCCCTCTGGGTAGACTGCTCCTTTCGTTAAAAATGTAACTGTACTTAACAAAGTATGTTCTTGAAATCCATACAGTAAAGTGATAGTTGAATTATAATGCAAGTTATTGATATCAATCGGAATCTAATTGCAAGATTGTTAAGAATTTATGTAGTTGATGTTCATACTGATCCCTGTACAAATTTCTTCAGCTTAATATACTGGCTTGCCCCGGGCCAGTTATGCATGGTTGATTGCTGACCAGCGAAAGGTGACAGGTGCTAAATGACTGTGGGATGTGTTATCACGATGCTCTACCATAATCAGAAATTCAAGCTCCATGCTCTAAAGAAGTATAGGTTCAGAAAATAATCGCATGAGTTATTAAAATAAAATAAAATGTTCTTTAATCGTCCAATTCCAAATATTCGAGATAACAAATTTTTAGCTGGCATCTAGGGATCCGCGGCAGCCACAGTGCAATGCCAATACAGTACTGACATATTAAGGATACATTGTCCCTTATCACACCCAACGCCCACGCGAGGGTTATTTGAGGAGCAGAGCAAACTGACTCCCAAAGCTGGCTGGGTTTGAACAAGAATCTACAGCGCAAGAAGCAGGAACATTACGCCTCTCAGCCAATTATGAGTTATTTGTTTCTTATTCATTTATGTATAAATGTTTAATATATCCTTGATTTATTATTTTACGTTAGTAGTCTGTTCTTTGAAATTTCGTAATCGCCTATTAGTTAAATATGAAATGGATTATAGAAAAAAATCTTTATGACCAGGATTCTCATTTTAAAGTCAGTTTTATCTGCAACAACATATTAATTAATGGTAATTTTTTAGACACTGCCTTATTTGGATATGCTTGTTGAATGCAAAGTGACGTTGCCTCGTGTGTTTGGCATGACAGGTATTGATTTCATAACTCCATTACGCATAAACCCACAGAAGCCTTTCATGTAGTATTTATCACTTTTAACGTGGCTAAGAAAATCCGATGATTTATCGCTGTTTTAAATCTCAATGAATCATACACATAGTGAAACCTGATGATCACATGACCTCTAATGAATGTCATGTAATTTGAATGATGTACATCTGAGCGACAAACACATCTTGCGGCCCCCTTGTTTACATAAAGTGATGCGCACTGTACGCTAATGGCAAAATGGAGTGTTTTCATTTCCTTTTAATGAATGTTTGGTCTGTGGTTCATGGATTGATCAATCAGTAAAGTCTTGACTTCTGCTGACGTTTGATGTAAATACTGCAAACAAAATGTCTGCAAAGATTTTAATTAATTTAATGGCATACCAAAGCAAAAGTCATTCTTTTAACAGAAATGTAAAGTTATAATTTTGTTATTTGTCTAATATAGCATAAGATAAACTTTATTTAAAGGCACAATGTATACCTCTATTATTTGTTAATTTACATATATACATAATTAAATCAAGTACCAACCTATAAAAATGTTCTTTGGTTTGTATTGGTAGAGGGCGCTATTTCACTTTTTTTATTTGAAAAATCTAACAGATACAGTTATGGAATTTCGAAATCTGTCTTTCTTAAAAAGGTTTTTAAGTGACATTTAAAGTCTTGATTTGCCCAAAAACCTTTCGTAGTACAAGACATAAGCATTGTAATCTGTGATGTTGAAGACAACCACATAGGAAAAAAAACCACAAACCACTATGAGAATTAAATGTTAATACATCGCAAAGGTTTTCTTAATGTCAGATGTGTTCATTTACGCACGTACATCCCGCAAGCGACGGTTGATGAATGAGAAAGAAAAAAAACATGAAAGTTGAATTTATCTGTTATAGAAAATTATTCTAGTTACTTGTTGATAATCGTGCAATGGCGCTGAAAAAAAGAATGCAGGCAAGCGTGCAATGGCTTGTGCATTCAATGGCTCGTGCATTAGAACGAAAACGAAGTGAAGAGTCATCTGTCAAAGCTGTCAAGACACACTCCGACCGGCACTCGCTTCAACGAGAGACTCAAAAAAGCACGTCGAATAGTAGTTGTATTGATACATTACAAGTAATAACACTCTATTCTCTTAATAATGTGTCCGTAAATATGCTGCTGAAGACAATTATAACGTGATGAGTCATTTTAAACTAATGCAAGCCTTTTGAATGAAGCACCTACCCTAACTCGTAGCCTAGCTTATCGAGGGCTGACGCTGTGTGAAGTTTGCATCAAGTGCGTACAGCTGATTACGCGTGTGTGATTCACTCCCATGACGCTCAATTTATTTCAGTTATCCACTGAATTTCTTTACTGAGACAAATGAAGATGACTTTGCCATTATCCAGTGTGGCAGCCATTTTATAAAATGCCAACACAGCCATTAGGAGCTCCATGTTTTTACATTTGGCTCTTATTTTATACTGTATTCAAATTTGTAATCTTTTGATTTGGCTTTTAAAATTCCCATCTTTATTATATTGTCTTCAAATAGGAACACTGTTCTTAGTGATTTTAAAAGCATTCCATGGTTGATTTTTGTAGTTTTTGTGGAGAATTGTTCTTTTTTTTAAGTTCAATAACATTTCAAAAATCAGGTTGTAAACTAGTAATTTTTTTAAATTCCAAACATGGCAATGGGTACAGATCATTCCCTTATATGCAAAACAATAATTTAATAGTTTTTCTGTAAAGTATTCTGAATAAACTGTTACTTGATGAATTAAAAAAAAAAAGACTCTAAAATACATTTCTCCCTGTATTTAAAATTGAATTATATTTGACAACAAACGATTCTGCCATACACATTATGATCACATTTTGATTCACATTAGGTGAATTTCTAAGTAAGACATTTGGTCTCTTGCACTTATATTTAATGACAAAACGAACAAAAGCTTTTCACATACAGTATTCATAAAAAGTGATTTTAAAAGAACCTTATGGCAGAAATACAATGATGTATTCTTCCACTTAGCACCAATAAATAAGAAATAACTGCTTAGCATCTTTGTCGACGTCAACATTAAGTGAAAATTTATGTTCCATTCATAATTGCCTGATGTTTAGGGACTTAAATGTTTTGTGTTGTACAGGTAGCCATATTGTCATAAACAATTCATAAGTATGGGCTATGGTAGAGATATAATGACAGAATATTGCACATTCAAAAAACATGTCATGGCAAAAAGGTCATAGCCTTTAGTAGAAACATAAGCTCATTGCCATGAATCAAATTCATCATCGTAATATTCATTATTACCATGGTCATCATTATCATTATTGTTCTCATTATTATTATCATTATCATCATCCAATATCATGATCTATCATCATCTTCATCATCATCATCATCATTATCATCATCTTTAGCATTATCATCATCATCATCATCATCTCCTTCTTCATGATTATCATCCATTACAACAAACATGAGTTTCATAATTATAGTCATCTTCAATCACCTTCGCCATCATCATCATTAATATCATCACCATTTTACAAATATTGTTATTGGTTTTTTTTACCAATAATTTTAATAATAATTTTTATTATTATTGGTAGTAATATTACCAATTATTTTTTTTATTTCACAGTTAACTATTATTTTTACTATTATAATTTTAATTAAAATATAATTTGATGAATCTCATTTCAGTATGACGAATTTCTGTTTGATGATAATAACTCACTACTAGATGACTTGCAGCTGGATATGTTGGAACGAACGCACCAAGAGGCAATGCAGTTCACAGCCTGTCTCCTTGATGCTGTAAGTATCGATGCCTACGCAAGCATCATATTCCCGATTCCTACTACATATTCCAAAAGAAACAACACTTGTTGTTAGTTGATTGATTTATCCTTTTCATTTATTCTTCATATAGTTTAACATCATCATTCATTTTCTCTGGTGATTCATTCACGACATTTACTCATTATCTCACCTTCAGTTCGATTTTTCAGTTTGTGTTATTCATTTGAGTGATATTTTTTCCCAGTTCTATGTAAACATTAATTGTAATTATTACAGTACAGTACTTCATAACTACTAATAATTTTTGGAAAATAAATACAGAAGCAAGTAATTTAGTTCAGAGTAGTGTCTTACACTTTTAACGAAGGCTGTAACATGGTGGGTGGGTGGGTGTGTGCCTGCCTTGCATTCCAAAGGCTCTGTGTACAGGTCCTCTTTTTTCCCCTTCATTTACTAAAAATATTTCCACCCCACGCTAATTTGTGAGCTAAGTAAAAAAGGAATAGAAAAAAAATCTACTTCCATATAGTCAAATAAAAAAACTAAAAAATCAAAGAAAATAAAAAATATTTTATCGTGTTTAATGGTTTATGAAATATGTATAATTTTTAAACAGACTAAGACTGTAATGTCATATGGAACACAAAACTTAGATACTCCATTTTAACATCAGAAGGCCTTGTATTTTGATATGATATACACTATACTAGCACAATTCAACCTAATTTCTTTATCTGTTGGCGCACATGCAATAAAAATGGTACTTCTAATGCTTCTTATGTTACATTTAACATGTTATTATAGGATGTACTTAGGTGCTAATGGGCATAGATCTGTTGTCATGTTTTATTGCTTTAAAGTTCATCTTGGCTGCAGTAGTGTCAGTTATGAAATTTCAAATTAACTCAGAAGACATAGTTTCATGATTTTGTTAATAAAATTTTAAATAATTAATGTATTTAATTGTATAAATCAAAAGACATAGTTTCATGATTTTGTTAATTTTTTAAATAATTAATGTAATTGTATAACTCAAAAGACAGTTTCATGTTTTTGTTAATTTTTAATATACTTAATGTAATTGTAAAAGATAATTATTGTTTATATTACAAAACAATAAATTTCAAATGTTTTTTCTTTTATCAATTTAATTCATTTTGTTGCATCAGACATTGGGGCTACAATTTGCTGTAATACACAAATAATATATTTTATACTTAATATCATCCCACGAAATTAATTCATACTTAGTGGGAGCCAAAAAAAGATATACAAATGTAAATTATTATTGTGTTATTATTAAAACAAGTGTTTTCTTGAATAATACAACCTTTAGGAACAGCGTACAAATTAATGAATACACACTACTAAAATACACTACTACTAGTAGTAATATACTAGTGTGAATATACACTACTACTGTTATTTCATGTAAAACAATTCTATTTCCTAAAAAGAAATAACAATAATAAGCAATTAATGCTAAGCACTGATAGTATACAATACAAGTCAATAAAATATATATTATTTGAGTGAAAAACAATAAGCACCACGATTATTATCCTTATAGCTCATGCGGGACTGTCACTAATACTCTAGAAAAGCACAACGATTTGCCATTGTGGCATTTAGCGTTGCAGTTAACTGGCAATGGGAATTGAAATAATTATTTTTCATAAAGAAAACCATTTTGGCCCCTTAATGACCAGATTTGCTTGATTAAGAAGAATGTGGGGTTGTATGATGAATGGATTTTTGAAATCTATGGAGCTTTTTTGCTTTATCAATTCTAAAAAGCTTTTTGTAGCTCACTATATAATCGTTAATATTCATTGTATATCCATTCCTGAGAAAATTATTCTCTGAATATGTTTTCCTTTCAGAATTTTGCTGGTATTCCTCCCGGCAATTATGATTCATTGGAGTTTATTTCGATCATTGATTTTAATGTCTTGTCAAGATTACTGTTGTACAAATCAGCATGGGCATAAAAATTGTTAGATTTTTGGTATTTTAATATTTACAGTAAAAATTATGGTAAAGCAAGCTATCAATAGATATTAGATTCATTGTTAATTGATAATTTAATCTGACATAACATATCATTATGTGGATGATTTTTTAAAGAAAATTATGAATAAAAATAAATTTGGCAAATTATAAAAAAAGAAATATAATTATGCTGGTACTGTATATTCAAATACAGCCTAGTTTCAAGATGGTTAACAAGTTTTTAATTTTTTTGAATAATTATTATTATCATGATTATTACGATTTTAATATTGTCCAGGTTCAGATAATTTATTCATGAACATGTATATATTCCAGGTTCTTTTTTATTTTTTTACTTTTTGCAATATCTAGATAATATCGTAATACAACACCAAACATATATATGCCTTGTAAATAAGAAGGGATATAAAAAACTTAATGTAATAATTACAATTTCTAGACAGTCAATTCTCCTTCTATTCCACTTCCTTATTAACTCTTCTCATAATTCATAGTACTCTAGGTCTTGTAGAAATTCTACCATAAGAAGGATAAGATCTTCTATATGTAATGTAAGATCGTATGTGAATGTACCATCTTTAAAAACAGCTTGAAAACTCATTTTACTTATAATTTATCAACATTGATGATAAGATATGGAAATGGTTTGTATTGATTGAGTCATAGTACTTACCTTATGGAAATTACATGTTTCTTTAATATTAAGACCTGCGGATATCAGTCGCTTTCATGCATCAGACGTTGCTATGACAACGAATAAACACTGTAGTGCTACTTATTCAGAAAAAATAGCAAAGTAATTCATTTTAATGCTCATCATGATGACTCATTAAATATATGTTTCTGAGTAGCAGTGTTATTGATGGTTTCAACATGCAGCTTTGCAATTGCGAATATCGGCCTTTCTCTGATATAAAATCTTGAAATGAATACAGAATATCTGTCATTTCCTCTTCTCCTTCCTCTGCCTTTTCACTCATTATTCTCTGTCCTCTTTCATCTCTCTCCAAGAAAAAACACTATGTGTTATTATACCAGCTGTACAGGACACTATATACCATGAATAACACACTGCACTATTAAACATAGCCGATAGAATAGTCATAATACCTCTAATGACATTAAATTTACTACATCATCATGAAAAACGTGACAGAATATCAAGTTGTAATATGATATATTGAGATACCAGTATTATATATGCTGTTAATAAAATTATAAAGCCTGATAACATTTGCAATCTACTGTGCATTCTTTCAAAGAAATTATATGTAATTTTTTTTTTTATTTACGTATATGAAAAGTTGATGCAACTGTACTTAATCATTGTGGATGCTTTTTCTTATAGGAGTGTCAACCAGATGATGATGCAAGAACAACAGACACAGGAACAACCGAAAACACATCAACAGGGAACGCATCAACTCACAAAGATAGCGGTGTGGGGCATGCGACTGACGAAAGTGTACGTAATGATTCTGAGCAGGAGGGAGCAGGCGATGAACTATGTATTCAATACGTTTCTGGAATTCGCAACGGCGAGTTGCGATGTTCAACTGATAGTTTCATGTCCAATGAACAAGAAGCAGTTGATGAAATCTCATTAAGCGAATGTTTGAAATTTAGAGAACAATTGACTTACAAATGTGACAAGCACATGCGTAGTGACACTGATAGTGAGAGTTTGCGTGGCAAGGAGTCAAAAGTGATGCGATTAGGCTCAGATTCAATGGAAACGACGAGTGTCAGTGGAGAAGACACACTAAACCGCAATGGACAATGGATGGGTATGGCCCACGAAAGTCAGGTGTCTGTCATTTCCCAAGATGCCCAAGATGGCATCTGGACAAAGCAGGATAGCTCAAATACACAAAGTATGGAATCGGTTGACAGTGGTGAGCACGCTAAAGAGAAAGCTACTCCGGAACCGCCTACTGCTGCCGGGAGTGGGGATGAGGCAGACCCCAAGGCAGATGGAGCAGTTGAATTATCACTAAAATTAAAGACACTTCAGAACGGTAAGGCTGATAGTGCAGCTCACATGAGTCTTGTTGATAAATCAACCAAGAAACCATTACAAACTGGACGGCATCGAAGTCGCTTACCCAAAACAAATCCATCAAGTCCGCGTAAATCATCCTCATCCAGTTCACGAGACAGGTCCAGTAGTAAAGAGAAATCAACAGCTAGTCCTGCAAAAGAGAAAATTAAAACAGGAGGACAATCAAAATCAGGAAGCCATCACCAACGTATGCCTGCTACTAACCCACGTCTGAGGGCGCAATTATCGCAACGTACACCATACTTTGCAAGAATTCAGGAGCAAGCACAGATCTTGCACACTAAGAACAGTTTCTTGCAGAAAGAAAATATTCAGCTTCGCAGAAGTTTAGAATCACTCAGCAGCATCACATCAATTCCAAATTATGCTAAACATTATCGTAGTTACATGCATTTAGTGAAAAAGAACGAAGAAAAAGCTTTTTCCGAGGACAAAGACAAAAATAGTAAACATGATTCACAACCAGAGATGAAATGGAAGGTGAAAATCCGTAGCGATGGAACACGCTATATTGCCAGGAGGCCAGTAAGGGACAAAATCCTCAAAGACCGCGAAAACAAATTACAGGATGAGCGAGCTGGCTTAACAACAGATGACGAAGCAATGAGCGAAATGAAATTGGGCCGCTACTGGAATAGGGAAGATCGTAAGCGACATGTTGAGCGTGCAAAGGATCAGAGAAGACGGCGCGAGTTCATGATGCAAGCACGCATGGAAGCCTTGAAGGAACAAGGTAGCGAGGAAAACAAAAAGCAGGACATAGTTGATCTTAGTCGTAAAAAAATGCACAAGAAAAAATCAAGAGGCGGTTGGGATGATTTTATGACTGTAGAGGAAATGCTAGCTCATGGTATTCGAATTAGTCCAAGCAATTCAAAAGAATTCAATCCACTTTTAAATGTAACCGCTGTTTAGATCAACAACAATTTCCATGGATTGGTTGCGAGTGTAATCAAAATTGATGGCCTGTATTTTTGTAACAGCAGATTGTTGTCCGTATCAAATGTATGTGTAATGTATGCACAAAACTGTTGACTCTCTTCTTAAGGTTCTAGCACTGATCTGCTAGAATTTACAAGAAAATTGTCTATTTATAAACAATTGCAATTTGAAGTATTTTTGCAACAAAATTATGTTGTTTTCTCTGTCAAGAATGGAATGTTAAAATTTAGCACAGTGTGTATTGTACCCAGTCATCCTGACGTTTAGTATTAATGATAATTGTCACATCACCCTTATATATTGTCACTGAAGATTGTCCATGTAGATTGGTTTTATTGTTGAGTGCATCAGTCGATCTGTTGATTTATCTGGATACAAGTTAAAATACAAACTGAATTTCACCTCATTTGCTTAGATTTATAAAAAAAAAAGTGATTTTTTTTTTTTTTAGTTGACCTATGCAATTTATGGTAACGCAAAGTTTCTTATCCTTCATTTCTGCATGTCAGTAAAGTGGCAGTATTATTTTAGGAAATTCCTTTTGCAATACATTGTATTCCTGTTATGAGGAAGGGTTTTAAAAGGGTAAGAGAGTTATTTTGATTTAAGACTAAGCATTGTAATATTAGAAATCCTTACTATTTCAATTAATATTCAAATTTTTATGGTTTTTTGCAACTCCAATTTATATGAGAATTGCATTATTTTTTTCATCCTTCTCTGGATTTATTTTCTCCTTTCTATGTTTTGAACAAAACGTGTCGGAAGAAGTAGAATTAGGAATTTGTTTTTGACGATTCTAGGAAGAGAATTTATTAATACAGCATATTTTCATTCAAGAAGAAATCTACCATCTGTTTATCCCTTATGGAAATGGCTTGTCATATGTGCGGATTATTTTTGCATTTGTTTTTAGAAAAGACACAATCCAAAAAAAAGTTGTAAGTAAAAAACCTTCAACCATTTCGATGGAAACAGTAAAAAAAAAAAAAGAAGAGGCGAGTGTGGTTAATTGTAAATGTTCCAAAACTGCAAATGTATATAATGATTATTTTGCATTTAAATTAAATTTTATTCTATCTGTACAGATATATATGTGGAAAGAAAAAAACATTAGAAAACCAGAGTAGCGAAGAAACTTGGTGGGAAGAAGTTATGTAGGCATTTTGAAATCAAAATTCCATAAACACAAGATTACATCAGCATTTTGAAAAACAATGTAATTATTAGAATTACCTATTGATAGTCACAATTATTTATTTGGGCATTTTGTCTTAACTCTTCGGTTGAAGTTTGAGATTAGTATTTCTGTAGGCGAGCGGTTGTTAACCCTCTTTATAAATATGACAGATAATCTTTGAAAGGTCTAAAATGATAACAGTTTTTGAAGAACACAAATTTGAATCATTTTTACTAATTATCGTAAAATATGCGATGAAAGCGTTCAAAAGCAGTGGGGTATCTAGAAATCTTGAAGTGGGTGTGCTGATAGTGGGCGCAAAGGTAAAGGGAGGGGGCTTGATGAGATGACCAGTTGAGGTGGGTGTTAACTCGCAAAATAAGGCGAGTTTAGTTGCCATTAAATTCCATCCCAGCTGCTTCAGCTGGAGAGCTGTATTAATCCTGTCTCTTATACACATCTAGATGTGTACCCCCGCACACCCCCTAGATATGCCACTGTTCACAAGAACATATAACTCTGGATACTTAATTTAGATAATTTATTATCAAATTTGAGAATTGGTACTATCAATAATTAAATCAAATTTGAGAATTGGTACTATCAATAATTAAATCAAATTTTCCGAAAGGTGCATAATCTTGTAACACATTCTATGAAGCTTGCTTTTTACGATGTAAAATCTTTCTTTTTGTATTTCAAAAGTGATTATTTACATTTGTTGTAAGCAGTAGCATCAAATTTTCCATAATTGTTATTATTCTCTTGTACCATTAAGCACAGGTAGTCTTTGAATTTTCTTTACCTGGTGTTACTTCCTTGACACCTGAACATCAGTCATAAATTTTCACAGTCCTTTGGAAGAAAGAAAACCTTGCTGAATTCCACACGCTTATTGATACAGTAGTAAATCTGATATAACGAATGGCCCGAGTACCCTAGTTAAACGAAGATATTTATTCGAGGAATTTCCCCCAGCTATTACTTATCCATTGATTTCCAACATTGACGACGATTAGCAACTAAAATTTTCAATGATGCATTCAATCAAAATATAAGCCTAATAATTATCACTCGAATATCGAATGATACTCTGGAAATAAGCAAATGGCATAATTGGGTAGCCACGAGAAAATGTGTTTTTTGTTGAACCTGGCAACTGTCACTGGGGAATTTTTCGCAATTTACCTTGGCTACTTCCATTGTACAATATTGTATAAAAAACTATTTAATATAAATAAACTACTACAGAATTAGTAGATCTCTACTAATGCTGCAAACAACATAACTGCACACTAGGACTCTAGTTAAAAATGTTAATGTTCAATAATGTGTAGTTAACATTTACACACTCCAAGACCACACCAGCTCCCACGGTCAACACTCAAACGTTACAGATAGGCCTAGCTCTTTCTTTATTCTGAATACTTAATCAATTTAATTAAAGTCTACTTAACAGTTAAAAACATGTTCAGAGTATGAAATAATACTTAAAGAAATTATTATTTTGAAAAAAAGTGAAAATTGGTATACACAAGTAGCAAAAATAAACAGTTTTAAATGAAATCAAAGGAATTTAATGAACTGGGTTGTATGTGGGGGAAGATACCAATGTGTTCATCCAAAGGTTAACTAAGCGGTATTTTAATGGGGTTTTTTTCCCTCCAAATTGTTGCTATTGTCACTGTGGGCTATTGCATACCGGTAATTGATGCTCTCGTTCTTGTCTTATTGTTTACTAAGTTATGGTATGTTACTTGAAAAAATCTAAGAGGAGGGAAATAAAGAAAGAAACAAAGAAAGAAGTAAGTTAAATCATGAACCTAGGTTAAATTCAATACTTCGGCAAAAGTCGCGGTATAAATCCCCGTATAATTATTAGAATATTGGAAGCTGTGTAACAATATCGTATCTAATGTTTGATTTACTTAATTATCAACAAAATTCACAACATAATAGATTTTGATTTTCTGACATTGCCTTTGGTTCTTACACGACTCATCGAGCAGAATGAGCATCCCTTGGACATTATTAGGCTTCCAGCTGAAACAATGATACCAATTATAAAGACAATTAAAGATTATGAGGAAGTCTACGGGACATGTTTATATAGACTTTTAGGTGATGTGTATACTTCTTTAATGTTTTTTGCGAAAAAGATGCTCCCATGAAGATTTAACCACCTACCAAGATATTCCGTTGCACTACTACACATTAGGAGCTGAAATGGTATGTACGGACCAATTGATGGTATAGGTGGCCAAATTCGTGTATTGAAATGTCATTATTTAAGATACAGAACTGAAACGGAATCTGGAATTGCTTGAACCCATACTCTCCAACCTTAAAGAAAACACAGCTTATTGTGAGAGGCTTCTTTCTATGGTGATATACACAGACGAAAGTTGGAAGTTGTGTGTCTGGGCAGCTGATGAATTGTTGATGCACCTCTTCAAGTGTTTTTATCGGAAAAAATTTCCGTTGCATCCCACCGTACTTGCAATTTATATGAAGGCCAGAGTATCACTAAATGGGGGTGACATCGAAAGTGCATTGAAAATCGTAAAGGAGATGGAATATGTAGACATTAGGACTATGATGTTTTTAAATGAGATCACCAATATATTGATAAAAATCATTGGAAGTTTAATAGGTCTAGTAATGATTATGAGAAAAATTTTCTTTTCGAGAAAGTGGAATAATGTACTACTAATAAAGCGCACTAGTGCCACTTAAAGTGTCGTGTACTTATTAAGTAACTAATATACTTAACCAACTGTTATGTCCTAATTACGATGTATTTATGTTGTAGTTATACCAATATCCTTTTCATACACGATGGAAGCCATCACATTGAAGAAGTAATTAAGAATAGCAATATGATCGCATAATTACCCCCAGAATGATGCTCTTGAAAAGTATAGTGATTCGTTTGAGACTTTTACATTGAAAACTAGAATTACTCCTTTTACGCTACACAGTAAAAGCATAGCCTCCCGCGGTGCAATTTTTCCCTAGTATAAAATTTTAAAATCCTTGAATTCTGGAAATACCGTATATAAGCATTTTGAATTGATGTTTAGGATGAGTACGGTATTATGGCTGGGGGTAATGTCCACCAGTCTTCACCCCTGACCCACTGACTAGTGGTTAGGTGAGGGGATCAGCTCACAAAATAAGGTGATTTATAACAGGCCTCTTGAGTGTGATTTATTTTTATTTATTTTTGGTGGGGGTGGGGGAAACTGGGTGGGGCCAAACTGGGTGAGGGCCCTACTCGGTGGTAGTGAGAGTATGAGGTGTCGTATACTGTACTTTACTAAAAGTGTAAGTCTACTCAAACAGGTATCGTCATAATGGCGCAACGGTAGGGTTGCCATAGTCGACAGGCTTCACGGCCAAACACACACCATCTCACGGCCAATATGAGAATCATGAAGAAGATAATTCTGATAGCAACATTGATTTATTGCTTTAAGTACTGCGACAATAAAATTCAGAGGCGAATTTAGAAAGCTTAATAAAAATTATTTATTAAAGTTTTCATAGGTTTGTTTTAACACCAGTTTGTGTTACCTAAACTATGTAACTTAATTCATTCTAATTACAACCTGAAGTACAAACTCCAGAGTAACTTCGAAGAAGTCTCTGCAACACTTGCTTGAAATTGGAGGTGCCATCTGCGGACCGAATGACCACATCGAGCATTTAATTGTTTTATTCAAAAGAGATAGAACCTCCACTAGGATGGAACATACAAAGACACAATATATGGTACAAACTTGCATTGAACTGTCTTTATAAATCTTAAACGAGGATAAACTTCATAACAAATATATATTTCATCCGAACAATTTAAATTATTTAATGTAACTGTTATCTTTTAAATAAACTCCCCTCTTACGTCAAATCGGCTAAAGGGAAACATTTAAGTGTTTAGTGCAAGTACAAACAAAGGTACATGATTAGAATCAAATGATTTTAGTTCTTTGGGTTGGGTATTATGACACCCGTACTTATGGATGGTTTGACAGTAAAGTTTACTTTGTTGCGCCGATTGAGGGTGTAATTTACATTATATGGAAGGCCACAATCATTAGTTTTTAAACTCACAAATATTTATGGGTTTCATTTCGTTTTTTTATGGGAAATTTTGTTTATTAAATCATATCGTAGTAATGTATCAAAAACAATTGTATAAAAAAAACCCCGTTGTAATACATTAATTGTTAGTGAGCAGCTTATCATTGGTTTTGTAGAGACGCCAATGGCGTATCGTAAGCCTCGTGACATCTCTTCACGAGGTAAACAATCGATCCGCAGGCGGTTTAGCCAAAGATCGTGTAGCGCCGCTAGCTGGCCTAGCTAGGTAGAAGTTGATTTTGTCGTAAAATTACACTTTATTTCGGCGCAACGTCAAGATATGGTGTGTCAAATATATGAAAGGACCTTCGGTATCAACCTGGTTGAGGTAGGCCCCTAGGAGCTTATAGGGTAGACTAATTAGGCCTAGGTGCCTAGCTTAGCTAGCTAGCTAGGCCTAGCCTAGTAGCTTATTAGTTAGGCTAGCCGATTGATACTGCATGAATGAAGGCATACTAAATAGGATGATGGGGATACGTACGATGGCCCCAACGCAACGCAAGGGAGTGTGGCCAGACCAGCTCAAAACCCCTCAAAAAAGTGGACCCAGGGTAGCGAAACCCGGCGTTAATAATACGGTTCCGCATCCGGCCCTAAAGTTAATTACTAATAATAATTATTTAACACTTACAATTATTCAATACTGTACCTGTCTCTTATACACATCTAGATGTGTATAAGAGACAGACGTTACAGATAGGCCATTATCTAAGTACTTCTGGTGGATCGCTTCACTGAAAAGGAAGAGAAGAAGGAATGTAGTGTGCGCTGCTCCTTACGTCATCAGATGAAAAAGTTTTTGCGCATGCGCATGTAAATATAACGTTTACTAATTTGTTCACGGCAACGTAAATATATCCACTATCTATTATTTAACATAGGCCTAGCCATCATTTGAGAAATTGTATTACTCTCAATGTCCCCTCCCCTATTATTAATTATTAACATTATTTTCTTTACTCAATTTAAAAATGTGCTTACTGTAGGCCTACCCAACATGTAATAAATGTAGTGTCATGATTGGTTAGTAAAGTATGCTTTGTCTTCAGATTCACATTGGAAAAACATTTTAAAAAATACTTTTAAAAAATATTAAAAAGTACTGTATGTCTTTGGGATCAAAATTAGATAAATATTTTTTAGCATTTGCAACCAATATGTTTTCATCTTAATTAAATGGTTAAAATATTTAACTTATGATACCAGCGAAGATCCCCATAAGCCTATGTGTATTCATAGGGCCTTTAAAATATGGTATATTGTTTCATTTGTAAATTTGTACTGTAGTTTTCTAATTAAAAAAAAAATTGTTACTGATACACCATACATTTGAACAAAAATTAATATAAAGCAATCATCCTCCATAGTATGTCCCTATTGTTAATATCACGTAAATTAAAAAATTGTAATCGTTTAAATAAAGGTTCAGATTGAGTTTGGTAGGATGAGGGTGTAATAATTCTAGCTGCATGTTTCTGTAATTTAACAAGTATATTCAAATCAGAAGCCCACATAATATTGCAATACTGTATTAAAATGTGATAAAATAAGATTCAAGATTCAAGATAGTTTTATCGTCTGAAAAACTCAGAAATTACATTCCACTGGCAGTGTTACAAGTGTTAATAATATATAAATATAAGAATATAAAATTATGAGCACCAAACAATATCTAGTTATAGAAATATATATGTGATTTGATTGCAGGTGGTAATTTTCTTACATTTAATCAATTTCAACAAAAATTCAATATAAAAACTAGTGTTCTTAAGTACAATGGTATTTTAAGCGCTATTCCGAAAAACTGGAAAAAAAATCTAGTGCAAGATCCAATTTCAAACCCATAAACAAACAACTAACACAAATTTCTATCAATGAAAATCATAATAAAATAATATATTCCAGTTTAATTAAGAAATGAAATATGTTTCAATACCAACCGCATCTATGAATAAATGGGAAACAGAATTTGGAGAGGAAACTGGGAAACGATTTTTATGTCTCCAACAAAGTGTACTCTAGATACAAGAATAACAAATTTCCGATTTAAATTTATTCATAGATGCAACAAATATCTTTCTTTTTAGGATTAAGATAATTGATTCACCAATCTGTAATTTTTGTAAAGTTGCGAGGCTATAGTTGCCAGAAATAATATCAAATATAAGCTGCACTTAAAGAAATGGGAAAAGATACTTTTAAGTTCTACCAAGGTCAAAGGCCTTATTGGTAATTGGTTATGGTCTTGTTTTGCTTAAATTTCTTTTTCTTTTATAAATTAATCTATAGCGAGACTAATATAAAGAGAAAGTAGAACATGTTGGGAAAAATAAACTTGAGTCTATTAATGATACCAATTATAATGTTAGATATTTTCTTAGAAATATAGTTCTGGTGACTAGTCCAATTTTTCATGGATGTAGACACCAAGAAGGTTTCTGATTATTCTCAATTTCTCTGTTTATTAACGCTCTGACCGCCAGGGGTTTGAAAAAATAGTATCGGCCACCGCCAGACATTTTGCCAAATTTTAACACTTTTCCAAAGCTTATTGAGAGTGCGTATGTGATGAGATTGACATGTAATGAATACTACAAGAACTACAAACATCTTAGCTTTACAATGGCACCAAATACTTTATCCTAATCACAACCTGTGACCCGTAACAGTAAAATGAATATGTCTCACTTTTGGAGATTTACGCAATTTCGCACAACGAAGATGAGATAATCGCAATTTCGTGAAAGTACATCAATACCACTATGCTCAATGTAAAAAACAAATAATAAAATACTTACGGTCCATAAAAAAAACCCTGAAACACGGAGATCTCCGAGTTTAGCAGTCAAGCATTGTGTTACAGTGTTTGACAGGCAGAGTGTTAAGAAAAATTTTATTTATTTATTTATTTATTTTTTTTTTTTGGAGTAGAATGAAAAATAATTCAAAATAATTGGATGTTTAAGTGCTTATACAGAGTGTATTTGAAGCGAACCAGTCACCATATTTGAATAATTCCGTAAACAGTGTCAAATTTTACATCCATATTTCGATTTGAATAAAAAAGAGTAGTATGATCGGCCAAAGATATGACCTGTATTGTGTCACTAACATTTTTTTAATCATTAACATAAATTAAGTATAGTCCCATATAAGGATGGTATACTTTCAATGTTTTTGATTTAGTCCCTGTTCATTTTATAGAGTGACATGTTGGTAGCAGGCAGATCAACATGAGTGACATGTTTAAAGAAGCAATGGTGTTCAGCTTCAAGATGAGTATTGCAGTATAAAAACTGAGAAAGTGGATAACAACACAGAATACCAGTTGCTGGTAAGTGGAAATATAATTTCACTTTTTTATACATTGTTCTCCCGAAGCCATTTTAGCTGTCAAATTTACCGGTATAAATAACTGGCCAACCAGTTAACCAGAAAATTAGAGTTTGTAAAATTTTAAAAAACTACTGATTAGACCTACTGTAGGTAGTCCAGGCCTGTCCTCTTTCAATATATTAACATCATTTAGGCTATGAATATGTGGTGTTGTTTCTTCAAGTCATTAAACCTCACTCAAAATAGGTACTGTAACACCTCGCACTGTGCGCATTGCTGAATTTTTATGGACAAATTTACCAGTAAAATATTTCAATTGGGAGAACACTGCTATAGTCTGTACTGTAATGATAGTTAATCATATCATGCTGTTATGAATGAGTTTTATTGTAAAATTATATAATAATGCTGCATTTTCTTTGATATACATGTAGTGCATAAAAATAATACTTCAAGTTCAATAATTTGCAACTTGATATTAAATTATAATAATGTGTTAATGTTTGTTTATTAACAGCTATGCTGGATTTAGCGTGTTAATGTGTTTCAGTCCTACTTTCTATTTCCAACTATGCTGGATTTAATGTGTTAATGTTCTTCAGTCCTACTTTCTCAATTGTGGTGCTTTACTTTATTCATGCAATAACACTGCAAGTGATATATTGTGTATATATCACTGTAAGTGATATATACATAATTTCATCAAACACTTACAATCCCCTGTCTGAGTTTGCAATGTCCAACCTGTAAACTCTCCAAGAAAGGTTTGCACATTAACAAACAATGCCTTGGGTTGTATTATAGTTAAGTTTTATATCAGCTGATGTTGGTGTTGAATTGATAGAAAGTTATTATATGTAGTATTTTTTTAATAAATGAAAATGGGTTTTTTATTGGTTATTATTTTTATTTTAAAAAGATTTAAATTAATGTAAGTCTAAATATTTGTTGGTTAATAAAATATCATTTTTCTATTACAGGCTGTTTGCTACAGTAAACTTATCTGCATGTCTCCTGACCATGTGTGCAACCACAATGATGTAATCAGCATGAATATTCATTAGAATATACTTCAAACTGCAAAAATCAGAAAACTGCTGGAATGACACCACAGCAAGACCAACTTCTGGAGAGCATATATATCTTTTAGCGGGGCCAAGGGTGGTGGGTGGCGCGTAGGTTTCAACGCAGGCGATCGCCTAACATAGGCGATTGCTCCCGTTTGGATCCTCCCAACTGTCTTAATGCGGGAAATGCTGACGAAATTTTCAAAAAAAGTTTCGTGAAGATTTATGTCATTGTACAGTATGTGTCTTTGGAAATACAGTACGCTACAATAGTACAAATGAGTTGTAGTACAAAGAACGTAGTGTTGGAATCTGTTTTATTCAAGATCGTCTGATTTTAACCAAGTCCATTTTATTGGACCTACATTTTACACTAAGTCCAGAATGCATCAAGATTATAAATTAAGTCCAGAAGAGGACCAACATTTTACACTAAGTCCTGAAGAGGACAATGATTATAAACTAAGTCCAGAAGAGGACCTACATTTTACACCAAGTCCAGAATAAGACCTACATTTTACACCAAGTCCAGAATAGGACCTACATTTTACACTAAGTCCAGAATGCATCAAGATTATAAATTAAGTCCAGAAGAGGACCAACATTTTACACTAAGTCCAGAAGAGGACCTACATTTTACACTAAGTACAGAATAGGACCTACATTTTACACCAAGTCCAGAATGCATCAGGATTATAAATTAAGTCCAGAAGAGGACCAACATTTTACACTAAGTCCAGAAGAGGACCTACATTTTACACTAAGTACAGAATAGGACCTACATTTTACACCAAGTCCAGAATGCATCAAGTTTATAAATTAAGTCCAGAAGAGGACCAACATTTTACACTAAGTCCTGAAGAGGACCTACATTTTACACTAAGTACAGAATAGGACCTACATTTTACACCAAGTCCAGAATGCATCAAGTTTATAAATTAAGTCCAGAAGAGGACCAACATGTTACACTAAGTCCTGAAGAGGACCTACATTTTACACTAAGTACAGAATAGGACCTACATTTTACACCAAGTCCAGAATGCATCAAGTTTATAAATTAAGTCCAGAAGAGGACCAACATTTTACACTAAGTCCTGAAGAGGACAATGATTATAAACTGATTATAAACTAAGTCCAGAAGAGGACCAACATTTAAACTAAGTCCAGAATAAGACCTACATTTTACACTAAGTCCAGAATGCATCAAGATTATAAATTAAGTCCAGAAGAGGACCAACATTTTACACTAAGTCCTGAAGAGGACAATGATTATAAACTATACAAGTCCAGTAGAGGACCAATATTTTACACTAAAGTCCTGAAGAGAATATAGGACCTACATTTTACACTATGTCCAGAATGGACCAACATTATAAACCAAGTCCAGAACAGGACTTACATTTTACACCAAGTCCAGAATGCATCAAGATTATAAATTAAGTCCAGAAGAAGACCAACATTTAAACTAAGTTCAGAATCGGACTTACACTAAGTTACTTAATATATCACTAACCATCCATTTTATGGATGCACCATAAATGTTTATTGCAGTGTAGACATCCCACAATCCATCTGCTTCATCTCCATATTGTACATCAGATTTGGCTATTGTGAGCTTTAGGTTCAAACAAATCAGTCTTTATTTCTCACAATTCTATATCAAAAAGTTTGACTTTCCAAGGTTCACTTGCTTTATCTCAAAATCTGAATTTGCTAAGCTTCAAGTACCGGTATACTTAACAGAGTTCAAACAGATCAGTCTTGATTTCCCACAATTCATTTCAAGGCTCAACAATTCTGTGTAACAGCCTTGGTTTGGCACAATACATCTGCTTCATTTATATACTTGGCAAGCTTCTAACAAATCCGTCTGAGCATCATTCACCTGGTTCACGCTAACAAGCTCCCACTGAATTCTAGTCTTGGCAACACACAATAAATCTCTGCTCAACAAATGCTTTCCTAGAAAATAAAAAGAACAAAAACAATATAACTATTATATAATACAATTAACATAATTTATCAAAGTTAAAATAATTATTTGTTTTATAATCATTATTGTAATTATCTACTTAATTAAATAATTAAGATTAACAGTCATTTACATATTAGACTTCACTGATAGTACATGAATGAGAAACAACTTATTCTTTTGTATATACTAGTTTTTAATATTTTTAAAGGGTTTAAAAGAAATTTGTCATATTAAAGTATTTGATATTACAATAATAACAGATTATTACAATTACCACCACTATCCTCAACATTCTCATTATGAAAACAATGTACAGTACTATTAATTTACACCGCAAGGAGGTTGTATTTTCTTTGAACTTCCTTTGTGTGTGTGTGTGTTTGTTAGCAGCCCCTGCCTACATTGTTAGGTTTAAATGATTTTCACAGATGATTCTGACATTGAATGGAGGGTTCCTTTTTATTTTGGTGACGATACGGAGTGGGGTGTGGATGTGGGGACCATTTAACGAAAAACAGCCCACAATAGATATCTCAAAAACAAATTTACAGATCTATGAAACTTTCTGGAGCTTACAAGGCAGACATTACTGTTGGTGAGGATCCAAATTCAGGTATTAATTTTGGGGAGGGGGATCATTTAAAATGCAAACATCCCAGGCAAATATCTCAAAAACATATCAATGGATCAGAATGAAAGGAAGACATGATAAACTTTGGTGAGGATCCACAGTAAGGGCTGGGTGTGGATATGAGGACCATTTAAACAGCAACGTCCCAGGCCAGATATCTCAAAAACTGATGAACTCATCTGAATGAAAATTTCCGGAAGAGTTAACCAAGTTACATTCCAAAGTAGAAATGTGCATGTGCAGACCCTTAAAATTAAAATGGAATGTCCCAGATAGTGGCAGCTCTAGGATACACTTTCTGGGGGTGGGGGGGCTAAGCTGTCCAATGGGAGGGGGATTTTGAGCTTATATGTCTGAGGAGGGGGAGAGTTTCGGAGGGTGTCCCCTCCCAAATGAGATTTAAAAAAAAAATATGGACCACTGTATGGCTGTAAAAATGGCACTCTACGACTGTTCAGACAAGTTTTGGCTTGGAATAGGCCTTTTTAAAAATTTTCTTAGTCAGTCCGACTGTCCAACAAGCTCGGCCAGTGGGGGAGCCTTGACTTGTCTGATGGGGGCTTAATGGATCTGAATTAAACTTTCTACAATGATTGGCCATGGTCTAAGGAACAATGACTGAAGGCTCTCTAATGGCTACCGGATCACACATAACTACTGTAAAAAATTATATTGAAATTAATGTGATGAGAAGAAAATTTATAATTAGACAATAAATATACTACAGACTTAACTCTACAAAATGACATGGAAGCCTCAAAACTGATTCTGTTTTTCTATCTTTAAGAACTTGGATACAGGTAACTGGTATTACCAAAAACATTAACACTGAGTACAGTAACAGGAGAAGTATATGAATTTGAAAATCAGTCCCTTACCTGCTGCAAGGTGGTGTGTTCATGGCTTGAAGATAACTTTTTTCATATTCTGAAATATTGAACATAGAAAAATTATAAAAAATTACACAAATTACAATTAAAAAAACGTTAAATATTCATACAAAATTGTAATTATGCAAGTAACTACATGGATTAATCAGTGATGTATCCATGGGATCGCAAAAATAATGACAATAGAACAAATAAATAAAATCTTTGACATAGGTACTGTAATTATTGTAATTATGTACAAAATTAAAATCCAATTAGGCTTTGTTCAAACGAAGAGTAATCTTTTCATATTTTCTTAATAAAGAAACTGGTAATCTTCTTGAACTGAAATCCTTGATAATAGAACCAAATGGACGTAAGTTGACAAAAAATACAACGCATTTTAAAAATAACACAAAAGATTTAATGGAAGACATGTTTCGGGTTACCTTCAACCCATCATCAGTTAACAAAAAAACACAACAGAAATTAACCAAATACTTTTCATGTAGACTATATGTATATAATGTAGAATATATATATAATTATTGTAAACATTGTGATATATGTAATTCAAATATAGTTATAACAATCAGTAACAATGACATGGGAAGAAAATTCATTATAATTTAAAGTAGGCCTATAGTAATCAAATATTATTGATTTACAGACTTAATATGTTTTTAAAACAGATCATAGGGCTTTTTCCCATTAAGTATTCCGTGGTTCTTAACCTTTTTGGATTTGTGGCCTCTATCGGGATCCCCAAGTGTAAGTATACTCATTGCCGATATTTCACCAGTAAGATGATAGGATTACAATGATTAGCCACTAATTAATGGCAATAAGATGTTTATCACTCTGTTGTAAGACGTAAAACATAACCGAAACTTGGTCTAAAAAATTGGCCTAAAAGTTCAGCAGATCAAACAAATTTCCACGGACCCTTTAACTTGACAGGCTCCAAAAAAATGTTGGGAACCACTGAAGTATTGGGACCAAATGTTTAAAAAAAAAATTATAATTGTGTTACTTTTGATCTACAGTTTTTTTTTTTTTCTGGTTAAATTTACTTATTCCTTTGTACAACTATGTATACATAAAAAAAAATAACCAGTGCTACCAAGTCTCAAACTCAGGCCCCAAGCTTTAAATAATGCTACCATACCAGCATAATTGTTTCCAACAATACGCAAATATTGTATTGCACCCCAGTGGCATAAGGTATAGGCAGTGCAGCCAGCACAAACCACTGGGGTTATTAGGGGCACGTTCAATATATGCATAAAATTTACAATTAAAAAAACAAACATTCCTACTTATTTTTAAAAAAAACAGACATCAGCTCCTTAACAATATTGAGGATTAGAGGCAATAATTATTGTTAATTTTAATTTTTTACTTCAAGGTAAAGAAGAATTTCTTAAATTAATAGGCTTACACAAAAATACTGTACACAAAAGTTTAAATGTAAAGAAAACGCTTTATGGTATGAGGTAAAGTAAAGAATCATTTAGATGAATTTTCTGAATATGATTCCCCACCAGGTTCCCAGATATCGGGAAGGTCCCCGCACTCCCGCAAGCAAGGAGAATCTCCGGCCCAGAAAATAACCCATTTCCCACCAATTCATTTGATGATTATCTGTATGGTACTACTATTTTAGCAACCACACACAGCAAAATAAAATTAGATGTGTATTAATGTTAAGAATCTGGGGAGGATGGAGTGGGGTGCAGACAGTGCGATCGCACCCCCTTATATAGTATTGTTGTTATGAATGGTAAGCTTTTTAAAGTATTACTGTAGAGTGCAAATTCCGGGCGCCTAGAGGTCCATATTCTCAAAATTTTCTGCCCTCAGCCCCACGATGGTGGTGTGATCTCTCACGCACCCAATACCGCCAAATCCTGCATCCACCCCAGATAATGCTCATGATTTATACACCACCCTAGGCCTAGCCTCCTAGTGTAGTACTAATAGTAGTAGTATCACTTGGATGTGGCTTTCAACGGCGCTAATGTACTTTCGCACCTAAAGTCTTTTAATTCTTATTTTTCAATTCTTAAATTTTGAAACTATTAAAGGGCAGTCTTAAAATTTTGAATCAGAATTTTCCTCTGACACATCCAACAACAAAATGTGGTAACATACAGGTACCCTCTTTTTTTCTTTAGAGCGTCCTGTTTAACCTTCAAGTTCTTGTAATCAATGTTCATCAAACAGCCATTTAGTGTTTGGCTCTGGTAGTTGTTCTGCTGGATTATGCCACTAAAATATTTTTATATCTGTGTACGCATTTGGACCATTACTATTTTTTTTTCAGTAATTGTACATGTGAATTTCATGTGAACCCACGTCATAATTGAACAACAACATACAATATCTTATAAAGCATAATTGAAATGACATACGAAAGCATTATAAAGCATAATTGAAATGACATACGAAAGCAAATAAATAAGTTTCCTTAACGTTTCAATTAACATAAAACAGCACACTCAGACATTCTGGCAATTGATTGCAAAATAGCAGCAGGTCGTCGTGCTACTGTCAGTGAGCACAGAAACGCTGTATTTACAAAGGTATTTTTTTTAAAAGGTATTATGTGAGTGGTTGAATCATGTCAACATGATATATGTTGTGACTGTGAGAAAAATGTTGAGATAAAAAAAAGTAAGAATTAAAAGGTGCAAAAGTTCATTAGCTTCCAACTTAGGACCCTGATTGATATTAAATTACTAATAAATTCACATAAAATTTGCAAAATATCTGTAGTTTTGCCAAATAACTGTAGTTTCCCCAACTGGGGCAGTGGTGGTGCTAGGGGATCTTACAGTCCCCCCCCCACCTCCCACCCACCCAGGAGAAATACCACAATTCATTAGGGAGAAAAGGAAATTATATATGTATTTTTTATATGGGCAGACTCTAAAATCGATTAAATATGACTTTGAAACCGTAACTTGCCATACTTTTTAGGGGATTCTCCCCTTGCCTTGGACCACACTTTCGAAATATTTTGAGCAACGTCTGACCACGCCACTTTGTTCTCGTCGGGGGAATCTGTCCGGCCTGTCGGGGACCTTGCCCTCGGGGAAATCCTAGCGCCGCCACTGACTGGGGGGCTGGGCTTCTTGTACCACCTGCCTAAATGCTCGCCTAGCATTCCACTGTCGGGTCGGGCATCGGCCCCTCCGTCGAATAGATCCTGACAGCATCATCACAACTCGGTCCGCAGACAAATTGGTGCGAGATAGCCAACGTGTTCAACAACATCAACAGAATAGGCCTAGGCCTGCTTAGTGTTACCACAAGTTCAAAAAAGGATTCATTCACGTGTTTACCCCTAACATTGCCTTGAAAAACCATAACGAAAACTGTCCTCTACTTACATTAAAATTGGTCTTGAATTAATTCACACTATTGAACAAAACTCTATAGCAAAGCAAACGTTATCAACTTCTTCGAAAACGTATGTTATTTTACGTTATGGTACTGAAATGCAGTAAACAAACAATTCGTAGTCTTTTCGTACCAGACTGCTTCTTCCACGATATAATAATTAGCGTCAACACGTGCATACCATTTTTGTTTTGACCGATTTACAAACACTTTACTACAAAGTCCTTTCAAAATTGATTACCAATTTTAGGGTCTTTGTAGTAAAATTTCAGTAAATCAGTGAAAACAATTTTCTTTGATCTGTTTCTTAGTGGAAGCAAATTATTTATTTGGTTCTTTTGAATGTTTGTTGGTTTCCTGTAGGCTATTCGGATGCAATTCATGCACTCTAACTGAAGTACAATTCGAGACTACTTTTGCGACGGGTGTCTATAAAAAGAAGACCGAAGACCCAAAAACGCCGAAGACCCCTATTTTTTCTCTTTTATTTTTAATCATAATATGCCAGGCTGTCACAAAATCAAATTACGATTTTTTTTTGGGCGTCTGTTTGTAAAATTTTCAAGGGTCTTCGTTTGACACCCTATGGGTGTCTACAAAACGAAGACCAAAGACCCGAAAAACGAAGACCTCCAATTATTTCCCAATTATCTTATTGAAAGTATTTCAAAATCATCATAAAACAGTTGCAAGTTCCTATTTCATTATTTCATTACGATTGAGAGAAAAAAAAAATGTGGGTCTTTGTTTTTCGGGTCTTCGTTTTGTAGGCACCCAAGGTGTCTATAAAACGAAGACCCTTAATTATCTCATCGATCCTATATTGGTGTCTCTACCAAATGACAGATGCTGCACATATGCGTCACTATACAGCATTCCTGAAGTTTATTTTAACATAGAACAAGTTTATGAATGAAATATTCAAGGTTTTTTATAGGCCCGAAAACACGCGTACCGCTAGGCCAAGCCATATTTCGTTTAGAGGGTAGCAGCGCCAATACGCGCCCTGTCACTAGCCGTGGACGTACAACATTGGTGCCGCTTTGGAGCTGGAATAAGGAGTAGATCATTAAATTGGCTCAGATTCAGGCAATAATGTGCTAAAAAGATGAATACTATAAATACATAGCATGAAGTGATTTAAAAACATTATTTTCATCACGATGAGAGAAAAAAATGTGGGTCTTCGTTTCTGGTCTTTGGTCTTCGTTTTGTAGACACCCATATACCGTACTGTAGGGTGTCTATAAAACGAAGACCCTTAAGTATTTCTTGATATTCCTCATTTTATCCCGATGAAATAATGAAATAGGTACTAGGTACTGTTTTATGATGAATTTGAAATATTTTCCATAATAAATAATAGAGAAATAATTGGAGGTCTTCGTTTTTTGTTCGGTCTTCGTTTGTAGACACCCATATAGGGTGTCTATAAAACGAAGACCCTTGAAAATTTCACAAACAGACGCCCAAAAAAATTCTTAATTTTGATTTTGGCCTGGCTTATTATAAAAACAAAAGAGAAAAAATAGGGGTATTCGTTTTTGGGTCTTCGGTCTTCGTTTTATAGACACCCCTTTTGCGACCTGAAAATATTATGAGGTGTTCTCGAGGTTGTCTCCAATATTAGAGGATTAGCTTTGTGTAAATAAAAAGACGAAATGTTATTAGTTGGTAGTTTAAGAAAAGTAGTCTCGAATTAGAGGCAAGGACGAAAATGCGTTGTTGGGCTCTATTATGATTAGATAATAGATAATAAATAATTATTAATAATTAGATAGTATAAACGGGTAAAATTCTTAATAATAGGTCAATGATTATAGCAGTGCTAGAAAGTGTTGTACTCTCCGTCTGTAAACTATTTGTCCGTTATTTTATAAGCACCACTGCATCCGTCATCATCCTCATCGATCGTGGTCGTTGTCATCGTCCTTATTATTATATTAAGCTTATATCCCTCCATTCCGGTTGTTTGTGTTCTATGGACCTCGGATCTCTTTCAAGCCAGGCTCCGGAGGGGAACAAGTGGTATGTTGTACACCTGAATACACACCTATGTTCGAATTTGGGAAAATTAAAACTTTTAAAATATGGGTACCATAATTCACAACATCTAACGCTATGAAAAATGATGTTCGATAAAATAAATTCGAACATAATCGGTATTTTCATGTTCCTTGGGTACCGTAATCAGAAGAATCAGAAGAATAACGACTAGTCGAATTTTAGAAAAATGCAAATTGTATAACTGTAACCTTTCAACTTATAATATTTTGCTTTTGCCCAGCATGGTTGAAAGAGAAGTCATGGTGATGGTCAGCAATAGCTGCAGATGCAAGGCCGTAGAAACATCTCCACTGGTCAATAACCATCTCTGGGATGAAGAGGGGTAGGCCTAGTGGCGAGGAATTTTTCTCGTTGGCCGGCGGACTGCTTCCTACGAGTTTGCAGGTGAAAGGGAAGTGCAACAAGGGGGTGGGGGATGTTTCAGTAATTGCAAATTTGCTGTGGATTATTATGTAGCCAACTCCAGAGAGAATGTCTATGACATCATTTATGTAAGCTAACGAAATAATTATTGTCACTAGAGTATTTGGCCAAAATGAAATACAGTTGTCTATGTTATGTAGGCATACTTTCACGGCTAAAGTTTTTACTTTACACAGTATATAGATAGATTTACTACTGTATATCTATCTATTAATTCTCCATTTGTATATTCATTTGTCGACTTTGTTTATTATACCACCATACCTCTATTTTAAATTATGCAGTGCTCTCGAACCATGGCCCAGTGGCATTTATTAAAAGGTTCTATAATTTATTGTCAACTATTAATCATTATTCTGGATCAATATCGGCCATTTTTTTTTTGTAGTTACACTGGAAAGTGTGATTTCTGTCCTGTTTTCCAGCAACATTTTTAAAGAATTAGGCCAACATCATATGAAGATCTGCCTATTGTTGTTACCCCATTCTATGCAGTGGTCCATAATGTGAATTTTATTTTGGTTTTTTCAGGACTAGGAGTACTGACATGGGGGAAAGTGAGGTGAGGGAGGGATTTACTTTTTATTGAACTTTTTGAGCATGGTTGTTGCTTAGCATATTTCCAGTTGGGGCACTTGGGTAAACAGGGTTCTTTGGGGGAAAACAAGCTTCTTAGGGGCAACAAGTAAGTAGTTTTGTTTTGCTTCGTTGTTTAGTAGTTTTTTTCCTCCAATTTGCAAACAACTAGGGAGATGAAAATGTGGGGTGGTCTTGAGATTTGTTACCTAATTAAACAGTCTGTATTAGAGAGGATCGCAATTGCAAGGAATCTCAAATTCGAAAGGGAAAAGTTCTTTTTAAAAATTACAATATTTACCTTTTAGTGATTTTTTTTAACTTCCAATTGCAATGCACAACTTGAACTAGACAGCAAATCATCACAAATTTAAAATCTTCACATATGGCTCACAATTTGGACACTTTTAATTATAAAATACATGTGCCATAGTAATGAAAGTAATACATTTATTCTTTTATTTTATGTTTTTTTTACGATAAACAACAAATATATCCATTTAATGTGTAACAAGTAAGTTTTACCAATTAGCTAATTTGTACATTCTGGTAATTTTTGTTGCATATTGGTACAAAAGTCAATGACCTTGGATAACCTAATCAGGGTGACACTACTTTTATACAGCATTTCGAATGCCCAATATTCTTTGTCCAACACCGTGGCAACCAATTAGATTTTAATACAGTTGGTTTTTAACAATTATATTATTAAAAATTTTCTTAAAAATCAGATGTCCCCAGGAAAAAAAACCTAGTAAAATAAAAAATAAAACCATTGAAATAGTAAAATCTGAATAAAAACATATGTTCTTGGGGCTGAAACAAAACTGTTCCATTGTTTTTAAAAAGCAGATTAGAGAACTCGTTATGAAATTGTCCTTCAAAACATGAATATGTGCTATCTAAAAAGAGAGGATACACCAAAAAAATAAACTAAAATTTAACTTGAACTTCTTGCTTGCTCAATATGTAGACAATATAAATAATGATGAGTTGAAGCAATATTTGTCGCCCCCTAGAGGGCAGATTCCAGAATGGTTGTTATGCATTGGAAATGTTCGTTGATGATCCTTTTGCAAAGCATCACAATATTATAATTCATCATGTTTTTCATCCTTTTCCTCCTCTTCCTTCTGAAGATAAAAATAAAAACAAATATTAGGCATTGACTAAATATTTCTTGTATTAATTTGGTCTCAACTAAGTTAAAAAAAGAAAACTGAATAAATAATAGGATAAATTGCTAATATAAATTACTAAAGTAACTAATAATATCAATTAAAATACATTTAACATAATCAATTACAATTAGGACTGTCTTAATGGGAATTTCTATGGTATTCTGTTGCATAGTGGCACAGATAAACAAAAACATATATAATTGGGAACACTAATAATAATTGTGATTGACAATTGAATATAATAAGCTGAACATTTACCTTTGCTTCTGTTGGTTTTGTAGTTGGTTCAGATTCATCAGCTTCCTCATCTTCAACCTCTTCTTCACTATCATCATCTGCTTCATCCTCATCCTCCTCTTCTTCCTCCCATTCCTCAGCCTAACATAAGAAAAAAAAACAGATGAACATATTAAACATGCACAATAAACTACACAGGAAAGCAAAAATATAAGTGGCAAAGACAAGCCAAACCAGTCACTCGTTGCAAATCCTGTTCCAGAGATATTGGCCAAAACATGCTGGTATGTCAAATTTTTTTAAATCTATTTTATTGCACATACATCATGCTATGCTGTTATTTTCCATATTTTCAATGTTAAAACAACAATTTTTAATGATTGGTGATGGTCTCTGACTGAGAAATGCCCAAAATCATAAACTTTGAAGTCTGATTTCTCAAATATTGTTCTTTAAACAGCTGTATGTCTGAACACTTGTAACTTTTTAATGAAATGTCGGATTTAAATGTTTCTTTTACCATTTTGTAGCTCTCGTTTTATTGTTAAACACTGTATTAATAAATAAAAATCATTTTTTTGCAACGAGGGTCTGGCTTGGCTTGTCTTTGCCACATATGAAAGACCTCATCCAATACAAACAAAATAATATCACTTCACAAATAAAAATGATGTAAAGATTGGTTAATGGATAGGTCAGAGTAGTTATCTTCAAATAAATTCCTTCGCTTTCGCAGTTAAATAATTTCAATCACGAGAGCTGAATCCCATTTTCAATGCAAGTTCAAGGAGTTTTGAGCCCCGAGGTTGATTTATCCCAGCTGCTTGACTACCATTCACATATGTAAAATGCTATCTTTGCATTTTTCAAATCATGCTTTAATGCACCTAAATGTATCTGTTATTGGAAATCTGAGGTAGACACAGATTTATCATCTTTTTTTCTTAGGCATTAACGAGAGTATGCTAGATATCTAATTTGGCTTGCTGCTTATTGAGATTGAAAAGCATAATCATTGCAATATTAAATTACAGATCTTATTAATGTCAATATAAAGAATGATTTGGGATGTTTTTTTGTCTTAACATGCAAAGAATTTGGCAATAAAATTTCTGACACTTGGATTTCTTTGTTCTACGATGAATCCGACCAACATATTTGATATTTTTGACTATTATTTTCTCTGGTCTTTTTCAAATGACCGAACCTCCCATCTAGATTAATTTTAAAGCATTTCAAATATTTCTGTGCTTTTGGTTATAAACATTAAATTGTTCCATCATCAATATTATACAATAAAAATCTTTAGACCATTTTTGGTAGATTCTAATATTCGTTGACTGAATATACGTTTGATAATTTCAATGAGTGATTATATTTAACCACAAATACTATAGAATTCTTAATGAAACTGATTAAGCAACATATTTGCATTTCTTAAAAAATTTAGTCTTGTAAATCATTTAATTACAAAGGAAATATGCGGAAGTTGCTAGTGGTCATAAGACGGTAATTAGAATCGGAATAGAAATAAATAGTCTTATTATCGTTATTAAGACATTCTAAGAACAGATAATCAAATCCAGATTCCCAAGGGAGTTCAACGAACGTCAGAGAAGATTAAGTCAATCTGAACACATCAACAGATATCTCGCACTCAATCCCCGGCCATTCTAACACAGTAAAGCACCACGATATCAGTGACGTTTTGCTAAGCTTTAAATTGCTTCACCCTTTAAATATTGCATAAGTTTGTGAAATTCATTATAAACTGTCGACTAATGAACTACAGTATTTTACTCTGGCTTAATAATCTTTAAAAATGTACAATTTATTGAGGCGCATCCTGCCTATAAGCTACATGTATTACAAATTATCAATACATAAACTTAATCCGTTATTTAATGGGTTTATTATATAATAAAGAGGCTGGTGTTTAGTAGAGCTTGTGATTAACTGATTTTGCAAGATATTTAGCATATGGCGTAATGATGTCACAGAGAATTTGGATCTATTTTTTTTGCTCCAATTCACTGCTCTTTTAGCTTAAGTAAAAATAAGCATTAACCAATTGAGTTTACCAATGTAATAATGAACTTACAACATTAAAGTGGAAGCGGTTTGGCGCAGCGGGAACAGTTTGGTTTCCCAATCTCAATGTTTTTGCTTTTGTCCTTGAGCATTGTTTCTCCCCACCCAGGATTATAAATGGGTACCTGGTGGGGTTGCCTGCTAGAGCACCAATATGATAGCAACACAATTACCAGGGAAAACAAAGTGCTTTGGAAAAAGCTATATATATATATATATATATATATATATATATAACAAATAACACGCACCTTTGCATCTGGATCGATGTTCATACTCATTTTTAACATCTTCTCAATTCTACCAGCGAATGCTGCAGGATCTTCGAGTGAGAATCCAGAGCGGAGGACGGCAGTTTCAAACATGACATTTGCAAGGTCTATAGCTGTTTGGTCTTCTGCATCACTGTCAACTCTTTGGAGAAGTTCTTTCACAAGTGGATGTCTTGGGTTGATCTCCAGAGTCTTCTTTTGACCTTTGTAAAATCTAGTGATAAAGAATTTCCACATAAGACTGAAAGTTCTTAGACAAACATTTTTTGGTGCAGTATTACATTACATAATATATACAAAACAACTGCCTGTTGAGATGTGACCATGATTTGCATCATTCATTATTCAGCCAAAAATCTGATAGATTTGACTATGCGGAAAATACATGATCTGTGATTTAAACTTTGGATTAGTACTAAATCCTCAAAATTTAAACATATCTAAAATGTCTGCAGTATCATTTATCAGTGAACAACTTTCTGTAATGGTGGTATATAATATAGCCATCATATGCAATGGCCTACTTTCCTCAATCAGCAAAAAGTTGCTGTAGGCCTTGGTTTTACTACAGTACAAGCACTTTTTTTTTCTACAGCAGCAAAATAAGGAATTAAGTGCTAATAAATTAATTTGTAGGTTGAATATGGATCTACTACAAAAGTAAAAGGCTCTTCCTACAGCAATTGCTGGCAGCTGCTGTGGGGAAAATTCATCCCTAAACAGGCCAAAATGGCATCACCACTGGTTACACCACCTTTAATAAATCTTTGTACTTTCAGATAACATACCCTGTGTTAGAATCCTTGGACTGTGCATATGCTTGTGATGTCATGATACGCTCCATGTTACCAGACCATCCATAAGAACTGGCTACCAATGCACATGGTGACTCGGTCAGACGCTGAGAAACCTTGGCATCCTTAATCTAAGGAAACAAAAAAGAAACATATTTAGAACTGTACAATGGAAACACGGATGGGAAGCCTGAAGAATTCTGTTCATTCAGGAAGAATGATTTGAAATATTATTTTGGGAGACGGATATTATGTGTTGACAACTTCAAGATTAACAGAACATACCTTGTCCTTAAGGGCGCTATCCTTGAGCCACTCAGTAAGAGGTTCATATTCTTTTTCTAATTCTTCTCGTTTTTCCTTCATTTTCTCTGATTCATCTCCAAGTTTCAATCCTTCTTTGGCTACATTTTGGAATTTCTTGCCATCAAATTCTGGCAGGGATTGGATGCAGTATTCATCGACAGGCTCCGTCAAGTACAGGACCTCGTAACCTTTCTTCAGAAGTCGTTCAACAAATGGTGAAGTCTCAACCTAGAGGAAAAATGTAGAAAAATCAGAATTGTATTAGAATACATATTTATGTAAAGTATATATTACCTCATTCTGGCCTGTGTCCTTATTTTATTTGTCACTTTTGTTGCTTACATATTTTGTCAACTGATTTGGAATATATATTATTTGTAATATGCTTTTATGTATGCCTGAATAAATAAATAATAATAATTATATTTATAAAGTATATAGAAAGCGAACAGTAAAATTATTCATCATTATATTTCAAGTAATACGCAGGCCTGCGAAACGTTTTGAAAGTGGGGGGCCCAATATGATGGGATGGGAATATGAATTGTGAGGGATCCGATCATACACAAATTTGCATAGATATTATATATTTTCTGCCAAAAAGTGGGCCCCCACCCCTGTTTCCGCCGGCCATGATACATATTTAAACAATGTGTTATTGCATTTCTGTTGTCCTTTTATATTATATAAATGCCAATCACTTTAACTAATGTACAACAAACAACAGACCTGTAACCAACAGGACAGTACAATGGGAGGCAAGACCTGCTCTTTTCTGAATACCAAGTTTTGTTTTGAAGACAATGTCATTATACTTAGAAAATCTCATCCTAAAGAAGAGGTAATTAAAAGTATAATGTCTTCAAGATATTCACCTCTTTTCTTCCATTTCCAGCCATGAAGTATATGTGTTCTTGCTTCTCTTTCATCCTTTCAACATATTCTGGAAGACTGGTGATGCCATCTTCGGAATTGGATGAGCTGAATCGCACCAACTTAGCCAGACGAGAACGGTTACTGTTATCCTCAATGATTCCCAATTTGATGTTGGTTCCGTACTCCTTCCAGAACTCATCAGTGAATTTTTTATCATCCATTTTTTTAATCATGTCCAATGTCTGTTCAAAGATTCAGAGCCACTTATTATTTCTGATAATGATTAATGATCAAATAATCAAACACCAGCTATGGATGAGGTTGCTTTATTTCTTTACTATTTTTGTTTCGTTAATTGTTCACTATTATAGTGGGCATTATTATGTAGTGGGGAAGAATCAATTAATCCTGTAGTACTAAACCAAAATTTTTAAATATCCATTAAATGTGCAATTTTCAACATAGTAATATTGTATTTTCCATTTTTTTTTTTTTTGTATTTTCAGTATTATTTATGTATGTATAAATCTTAGATGTGTAATACAGTTTTTGAAACATGGCAAATAAATTTCACTGAATTTGTATCTCACAAAAATTGACACTGAACTACCCAGTATGATGAATAGTTAATATTACTATTTAAAAAAAATAAAATATCAATACAATCTGAGTTTTAAGTATTTACTACTAAGATTTTGATTCTTTCTTATGTGCTGTACTAATTTCAATATAACATGTTATTACGGTACTTATATAAGTAAAGGGATATATCAATTATAAATTATATATGAAACTGTTGAGGAAAGGATAAATAAACAGGGGCAACCTGCAAATATAAATGGGTCAGAAAGATATTATAAATATAATTGTACATTAAGACATTCTTTGAGAACATACTTCTAGCAATGTAAATTACCAGTTACTATCATTATTACCTTTCTGACCAATTTCCTCTTGATAACCTTAAGAAGCTTGTGTTGTTGCAATGTCTCACGGGACACGTTTAATGGCAGGTCATCAGAATCAACCACACCTTGCACGAAGTTCAAGTATTTGGGCATCATGTTCTCAAAATCATCGGTGATGAAAACACGTCGAACATACATCTGCAAAAGTAAGAATTAACAGGTAAATATAATTATATTCAATTTTAGGTTCAATTTAATTATTTCCACTGTCATGCAAGTATTTGTGTAAAATATTCAGTGAATAGAACAGCAGAAAATGCATGAAAGATACAGCAATATTAGGAATTGGGGAATTAAAAGATCTCCAATTGAAAGGCTGGTTCAAACTACAAATCTCTCTTCACCAAGGATTACTAAATAGGTACCTTAAGCACCAGTCTTATAAAAGCATCTTTCTGAAATAAACACTGTACTTAAGTCTCTAAAAAATGTATACAGTAAGTGCTGCATATTTTAATTTACAGTACCGTGTGTACAAAATTAAGCAAAAAAGACTAACATATGCAACATTTTCCAATATATTGTTCTTTGAAAAAGAACACCCTGATGGTATGATCAATATCGTAATATACATACAGGTAAGAAACGGAATACCCACCTTAATGTGATCCACCTTCTTTCCATACTCCTGGAACATTCCTTGAGGAGCTTTCTGTGGAATGAAGAGGATGGACTTGAACGTGACCTCGCCTTCTGCGGTGAAGTGCGTCTTTGAGATAGGTTCTTCTGAGGACTTGGTGAAGCTCTTGTAGAACTCGTTGTAGTCTTCATCAGTAACATCTTTGGGGCTGAAGAGGGACAGAAATTTAAATACGTATTTCATATATTTATATTTTGAATTGCTAAACTTTTTTGCTATTGTTTCATATTTCTAAAGACATTTTTTTTTGTACATGATCGAAGATTGCATCCCCTAGACCAAAAATCTCAAAAAACATATTTTTTTGGAAATCACAGTAGCATGGGATAACAGCTCTCATCCTCATGGATGAAACCCCAAACCACAACCAATTTCAATTTGATATTTGTTATTAATGCCCAAGGTCAGCACCACAAAGTGATAAGAAGCTCTATAAAGCTAAGACACACACAGTGCCAACGGTTGTCGGCCGACGTGATTACATAGAGAATGTTACATAACAAGACACGCGCAATGGGTGATTTTAGTAACAAACTGCTCAGTTTGCCACTGAAAATTAGCAGATGACATCCTTCGTCAGAACAGAGTTCGTAAATGAGTAAATTCGTAATTCAGAGTTAGAATTATCAGCATCTCAGTGTGGTGAGGGTAGGCCATGGCCATGCTACAAAGTACAGGGCTAGGTAAGGCAAAACCTTGCCATGGGAGAAAAATTTTGTTACGAGATATGACTTGGATTTTACTGTTTTCTGCAACAAAATACTACTTTACAGAAGCCAAAATTACCTGTGCTCACTGTGAAGTATTCATTTGAAGTGATTTACAAATGAAAACATGACCATAAAAGCCCAAAATGAGTGTTATTATTCTTTTCATAAAGATCCATGTGAATAGTGCCCCCAATGATCAAAAAGTGAGATTTACTGTACAGTATATATCCCAGCTGAAAACGATCGATATTTCTTGTTTTAAACTTAGTTTTATATCACTTTATTGGTTTGAATGTTTTCTCTCTTAGCTGATTTAACAATTTAAATTATTTCGAAAGACTTTTATACATTTCAAAGAGTTTTTGTAGTTAAAAACGATTGTTAGTAATGACGTCATCGCCAAGATTTGGTTCATAAAAATCGAGAGTTCGTTAATGGGAGGTTTGTAATTGGGAGATGTTACTGTACTCACTTTCTGGTCCAGATAGGTTTGCTCTCATTCATCAGTTTCCAATCCCAGGTAGTTTTTTCAACTTTTTTTGTCTTTGGTTTCTTCTCTCCCTCATCTTCCTCCTCTACCGCTGCATCTGTAAATGTAACTGTCTATTGATGAACCCAGAAAACAACACATTATATCACAAAATAGAGTAATCTTGAAAATGTTTTGAATCTTTAAAACAAAGATAATATTACCTTCATCCTCATCCTCTTTCTTCTCCTCATCTTCTTTCTTCTCATCTGCAGGTGCAGCTTCTTCTTCCTCTTCTTCAATTGGTTCTTCAACTGTTTCAGTCTACAGAAAAAATGTGAGATTGTGGTTTCATTTTTATTTACTTGCCAAAAAGTTTGTTATTGATGTCACTACATATTTGTGTTTTGAGTACTATACTCTTACATACCTTGCTTGCCCACAAATAGATGGGGAAGTTGATAAATTGACTGTACTTCTTGACAAGTTTTTCAATGGTATCTGGCTCCAAATAATCGTAAGCTTCTTCTTTCAAATGCAAGCTGAAAAGCAACAAACAAAACTTTTAAAATCAGGATGCTGGTGAAAGACACTGCAAAAAGGAATTCATTATTTATTTATTAGAGTAAATGACCTGCTTTGAATAAACGCTCCCTCCTGTGCCTCATTTTGAATAAATGCCTTCTTTAGTAAAACGCCCCGGGGCAATTATTTTTTCCCTCAAATAAACAGCCTCTCTAAATGACTGCTAACAAAGCATCATTATTCTCAACACATTCTATTAATGTTGTACTCCAGTAGAATTACATTTTTTCTAACATGATTAGGATCATGTTAGATTCATGATTATGCAATAATATATTTTGACAGTAGTTATGTGTTGTAGTTCCAAATTTACAGTGAAATTAAAGGGCATCTATTTGAGTATATCAATTTTACACCAAAACAATAAACACCTCCCACGAATAAAAGCCCCCTCAAAAACCCTTTTTAGCAATAAATGCTTCAGTGACTTTTATTTAAATAATTGTGGTAAATAAATTTAAAAACTGTACAGGAAGTTTAGTTGGATTGTGAACTAATTTTTTGCATACTTATAGGGGTGCTGAGTTTGGAGAAGCCACTTCTGTAAGATATGGTTTAATGAGCTATCTTTACACATCTAATTATATTTGTAACATAATGTGTAATTAGATATACATAGCACTTTATACTAAAGTCTTAAACTCATCTCCTTTACTAGTCTCAAAAGATGTACTTGGTTCCTCAAAGTGTACATGAAACAAGTTGTGTACACTGGGCCTGTGGTTTATAGACCATAGACACGTGTGCCGTTCAAACCGGTGCCGAAATTATGGCTGTACGTTGCCCCACCCGTGCCGTAACCACTCAGCCATTCGACTGTACATGGTGATAACCATGGCCAACTGACTTCAAGGGAGACGATTGATAACACAGTAGTAAATAATTAAAAAAATCATTGCAAGAGATTGATTGGTTTCTGGGATGTTTTCACTGCTCAAGTGAGTGCAGGAAACTGTGCAGATTTCCTGGTGACTTTCCGTAAGTGTTGGGATGTCTGTTCATAGTCCCATGGCCATCATCTTACCTGATTGTGGTACCTCGTTTGAGCGTGTCACCACGAGGGTCTTCTGTAATAGTAAACTCGCTCGAGTCTGACTCCCAAATATATTGCTTATCTTCATTATGCTTGGATGTTACGACAACTCTATCAGCAACTATTCAGAAACAATGGACATTATGTTATATTTGCTTATATTTTTTTTAATCACAAAATTTACCACCCAGCATGATTATACAATTATTATAAATATCATAATTAGAATGCTTTTGTATGCTATCAACCTAAATATCGACATTTTTTTTAACTTGCAGTGACATGTTTAATCATTAATCATCAAGTATGGAGTAATTTCTTATTGTCTATTTAGTTTATGAAATATAAAAGCTTCCTACAAAATATTAATCCAAGTACAGCAACACTGAATAGTATAAATAATATGTAGGTCCATAATGATAGTGTTTACTGTTATTATGAATAAATTTTTTAAAAAATATGCAAGCATACAAAAGTAGCTGGTTGGTTTTCATAGCAGTTCATATTACATTTCTTTAACTTAAGCTCTGTGACAAATTTATGCGATTAGTCCATGTTTGAGTGATATGACATCATTATGTCCATATATGGGTATGATATGACATCAGCATGGCCATATATGGGAAAAATCTCTCAAATTATCAACAAGCATATTACATCTCAAAAACAAGACATACACTACCATACACATCCCACACATTATACCAATAGTACATCCCAAAGCCCTGACTATTCATTTTTTTTTTTTTATAATTTTTTAAAATTTTGGGTTTTTTTTGGTTTTTTTTTTTGTTATTTTTTTTATATTTTTTAAATATTTTTTATATTTTTTTATTTTATTTTATTTTTTTTATTTTTTTGTTTTTTTTGTCTTTTGATGTTTAAACTATTAATGATAATTGATGTTTTAGTAATAATTGATGTTTTAATATTGTTAAACTTCAATTTGGTGAAGATGATATTTTATCTTGACAGATTGCAATAAAATGGATTTGATTTGATTTGACTATCACATCTGACAAAAACATGTGACATGCCTAAATATGGTCATGATGACATCACATCATGACCATGTGTAGGCACATCATGACGATGTATAGGCACATTATGACTATATATGGGCATACAGCAGTTTTTTTGTCAAAATAATATTTCCATAGTGCAAACAGGGCTAAACAATTCCTGTTTCAATCAATGCACACATTCAGACATTGCCACTCCTTGCAAATTTAGAAATAAGTTCATTAATAATGAGAACAGGAATATTGGAAATTATTCAACCACCATAAACGACTAATCATTTAATAGCAAGATTCCACCTGCTCACATGAATTATAAATACGAAGTTCACACCTACCTAAGAACGCAGAGTAGAATCCCACACCGAACTGTCCAATCAGATCGCTCGCCTCTCCACCTTCCCCATTCTGTAAAAGACATATCAAAATCAAATTAGACTTTTGAATAATCAACTGAAATGCTCAATGCAACATCTGCTCAACATTTCCTATTCAATTTCTATTCAAATATTTTTTAATCTATTCAACTCTTTAAAAAGAAAATGGAATTTAAATGAGAATACATAGGAAATGTGGTACTAACAGATAATCTGTCGAAAAATTCACTGGTTCCAGACTTTGCAATTGTGCCGAGATTTTTAACTAGATCATCTTTGGTCATTCCAATACCTGTATCTGTTATATGCATCATATGATTATCCTTATCAGCCTGAAAAAAAAAACAAAAAAAAAAACATAGTTCAGCGTTTAAAAAAATCCTGTTGATAGAGAATATTGTTCTAAGAAATCATTGGATTGGATTGGATTTATTTGGTGTAAACACAAAGGATAGCCCACGAAAGTCTAGAAGACAACTTATTTCCTGTGGGGTCCTTCTGGTGGTGATTGGGCAGTACATCGGCAGACAATCCCCTACTCTTTTCCAAAGAGTGTACTGCATTTTTAACATGCACATGGGCCATAAATGCACACAGGGCCAACGGCTTAAGCATCTCATCTGAAAGACGGTGCGCTATTGCAACTTGTATTTCAGCCCTCTAGCTGAAACACAAGGAGAGGCCGCGATGGGAATTGAACCGGGGACCTAGAGATCGTCACGGTTCAGCGCACACACAGTGGCTACCACCAGATTAGCCGACTGAGCTAAACTGCTCTCATTATTTAAGAATAACATAACAATAATAATATTTATGAAATCATGTTAATAGCATTACAAAAACTTGTGCAAGTAATAATAATAATATGTCGTTCTTATATAGCGCTTTATGCACAAAGCCTCTAAGCGCCTCACACAAGTCACTGTACCAGTAGTGGTTTTATGTTGATTCAGTTTTGTTTTAATAATTAGTATGTTCTATTTAATATGATCTATTAATATATTATCAGTTTTTAGGATAGAAGTAGCCATCAATTATTTATTACAGGTCTCCCCACCAATTAAAGACCACTTTTGGGACTAGTTTCCATGGTCTTATGCAACTTTAGAATAATAAAGATAAAAAACTTTAATTAATTATTAGCGGACCACATAAAAGTGGTCTAATTGGAGGTGGTCTTTAATTAGAGGGTCTTCAATTAGAGGGAGACCGGTATTAGAAACATAATGCATTTGACATTTCTTAATTTATATTTTTTGTTTCATGCTGCAATTTCTACCACCAATAACAGCAACATGCTTAGAAAAAGTGTAGCACATGGTTTGAATGGAATGAATGAAAGAAGTCACCTCACCTTAATTTTAATACTCATTTCTTCTGTAGCATCCATTGCTGCTTTATCAGTAAGTGACAACAGTCGTATCTTGTCCAAGGCATCGGATGCATTTGAGATCAACTCTCTGAGGAAAATCTGAAGCATGGAAAACAATAATAATAATAATAGTAATAATAATAATAATAAAATAATAATAATAATAATAATAATAATAATAAATTTAGCTACTGAAAATAGATCAGATATTGGCAGCCATTGTCTAGATAGTCTAGTTGGCATATTACTTCTTATGATTTTTATTACTCTCTACATCTTAACAGAAATTATCTTGAATAACCCACTACTTCCTATCACAAGAATTATTTCCAGAGGGGTTCCAGATCATAGGACCCTTCATTCAATAAAATTCCATGAAATAAATTATCAACAGTCAATCAAAGTAAAATTAGAAAAAAAAATTACCTCCTTGTTTTTATAAAGTGAGTTAATAATAAGCTTCATCATTCGGTTTACTTCAGCTTGAAATTCATGTTTTTCAGCAGATTCTCGCATCTGTTTTATTTCTGCTACACTAAGTCCGTCCAATTTTATAGCTTCTTCCTCCCTGACGTCATAAAAATAAAACATGTATTATAGCTCATTGTTTGCTTATTTATTGTGTCCATCCCTTTGGTGTCGTCGTTTCACCCCACATGCAACCATTTTACTCAGTGTTTCTTTGTCCAACATTATGATTTACAACTAAAAATGTGTCTTGAAAATTTGGAAAGTGGTGAATGTTTCTTATACCCTATTCAGACTACACTCTCTTGTGATCGGTTGCGATGTAATCGGTGATAATCCAAAACTGATTACTCCCAATCGCAATCAATGAACGCATTCAGACCAACACAAACAAACTTTACATTCTACGGCCTAGGCCCCCGGTGGCTAGGCCTATGTTGCCTGACCTCAGCCAAACAGTGCCTGTGGAATTCGTTGCGATCAGATTCCGTGGTAATCGGGAGTAATAAAGATTGTAGCACCCAATCGCAACGGGTAACAATTGCGATATCGATTACATATCGACTACTATTGGTGAGCTTTCACACACGATTTTACTTTGCGATTGGTTGCGATTGGGTGTCGCAATTGCTACAACCGATCGCAATGCGATGCTAGTCTGAATGGGGTATTAATCTAGGTAAACACAGGCATTTTCAAGAAAAACCTGCTAAAAAATAACCCTGATTATTTTTTATCTTGATTGAATTGAATTCAATATAAAGCTAATTTTAAGGGATTCTACCCACCTTTATTAACCTATTAAATAGAGTTTACCTATGTTATCACCAACCATAGGCTTAGCCAGCGAGCCATCCAGCCACTTTTTGGACGGCCTACAATTATTTGCTTTTACCAAGACGGCTTGGCCTAATTAGGCCTGGTCTACCTTTAGCAAATTTTTTTATTTCTTCAAATCTATAGAATGTTACATTAAACTAAAGCTAAATCATATTTACGCTTGATAAAAACAACATTTATCAATTGTATGTACATTGTTTTCGTACCAATATTCGGTGGGGATTCCCAAAGATGGGCGTGGCCCGCCTATCGGCCCAGTGCCACGCCCACTGGCTTCCATTTTGGACGGCCTATTTTTTTTTTTTTTTTCTGGCAAAACCTCTGTCACCAACCCACTCTTAAACATTTTTGTTTACCACCCACCTTTAGTTTTCTACAGCTACAACCACGGACTAGTCCAACCAAATACACTTTATCCTTTCTGTCATTTACATAACAATGCACTTTCTATCATTCAGTAAAAGTTTTAATGATCCAATTAGTTTAGTTAATTGTAGAATGTGGCCAAAGTTTAGGAGATGCTATACACGTGCCCTACCTTTGCACAACTTCATCGTCTGTTTTGGAACCATCTCTGCTGCTACCAATATCATCCTCTACTGTAGCTTCACCTTTTGCCTCTTCTGCCATTGCACATCCTGGATGTACAAAAAGAAAAGTTTAATACAATTCCATATGAAGAAAAAACTATTTTAGATCTATCTTGTAGTTTGTTCATTCATGTAAATCCATAATCACCGGAGCTACACAGGTGTTAATGTAGCTTCCTTTAGCAAATAATCGCTAATAACGAATTTTAATTGTCATTATAAGTTGACTGTAACGTCGTAGCTGGGTGACCATGCGCACATTCACAGCATGACCCTGTCTGTACTACAGGACAGATGGGGTCAATATCAATTGTCCTGTGATTGATAATTCTGCTGTTATTTAATCAAATGAAATGATAAAATTATCATAAATTTGAAGTTATTTTTTGTCAATCTTTATGATGATTTATATTAAGCGGTTGTTTGTAGGGTGTAGGACCATTTTGGCTGCCAAGTATTGACCACATTTTGTATCATATGCTTTTAGTCAATTGGATTCAATGAGTGACAAATAAATTTCGTTATACTGACAATTACAGTATAATATAATAAATACATGTATTGACTTGAAAGCAATATAAAAAGACTGTGGGAAAGGCAAACAACATGAATTATTTGTGTCAATTTGACAAGGGAAGCCTAGGCCTGGCTTAACATACAAGAAAAGAGTAATTCTTACTGGTGACTGATGATAGGCCTAGGCCTATATATTTGTAAAGTAAGGATAGGCCTAGGCCCTAGCTAGTTCATGACAAACAAAACACACTTAATTTTATGATTTTCTGGATGATATATAAATACATCGGTCGTGCAGAACTGGTTCGCGGCCGAAACGGATGGCATTCCTTGAACCATGACATTTAGGCCTAGGCCTAGTTTATTTTTGGTTTTGTTATATTCAATAGGCCTAGGCCTAGGCAATGTCAACAATATGCTAGCCTACATAGCCAAGGCCTAATATACAGACAAAAACATACAGCAGTAGGGGTCTCGGCTAGGCCTAGCCTACTAGGCCTAGCAGACCTACATGCATGATACGACGATCTAACAATGACATTACTTACTTAGGCCTAGCCTATGCCTAGCTAGCTTTTTAGGGTAGGCCTAGGCTAATAATAATACTTGTCTAGGCCTATTATATATAGGCCTAGGCTAGGCCTAAGCTAAAGGGCCAAGGATAGGCCTATGTCTAGTAGGAGGGTTGGCTAGGCCTGGCCCTAGCTAGGCTGACAACAGTAACAAAAGAACCTGGGAATATTAGATATAGGCTAGGATACTCTCAATTTTCTCTGATTTACATGGACATTCCCAACAACATACGTATTATTCGCTTAATTGTACATACCTGTTAAGAATAGTAGGCCAAGAAGACCAAATATCCAGAAATTCCTACTCATTTTGTTCCACCTTCCTACGCACCAAACGAAGTAAACACCGGTACGAACAGAGTGCTTCACAAGTCGTGGATATCGTTTAGTAGACCTTTAACCACACGTGGAATCTGACCAATCATAACAGACCACGGCACTTCGACAGCAGCCAATAACAAATGCACAAATCGACACTTCTCTACTGCTAAGCGTGGAGAAGTGTGATTGGTCAGTAGTTAGAAGGTCAGGGGTTAGTCTGAATAAGCCTAAATACTGCAGTAATTTATACCTGTATTATTTATAATTGTAATGACTTTACTTGTATCGTTTCAATTTCTATTCATAGTTTGTTTTGAAATTGATTAAATCCAGAATAAGTTAACATGTTTCATTAAATATTTGTGTATTTCATCTAACAGACCGTACTCAATAGATAAGCCCCAACCAATGCAAAAAATAAAATAAAATAAAATAAATAAAATAAAATAAAAACTGAATAAATAAGTAAATAAATATATAAATCAAATCAAATCAAATGAAAATAAACAAACAAAAAAAAAGCCCCACGAAAAAAAAAAAAAAAAAAAAAAAAAAAAAACCAAACCCAAAAACAAAAACATTTAACAAAATTTAAAGAAAAAGAAAAACAATCATTGTATTCTACAAAAGAATTTGCATTTTTTTTTTATTGTTTGTTTACTTTATAGACACAAATTTTACATATTGAATATCTGTTTCTAAATGACTGGCCCTAGCTTTTCTGGATACACATATTACTAACAAAGGCAATAAAAAGAATATATTTACGTTCATACCAACACACGGTACCATATGGGATCCGGCATTTTCCAACTCTGATCAGGTAATTAGTTCGGTTTTAGAGAAACTGTTATGAATACAGTATCTTACATTTTGTTTTACACTAAGTACCTTATTGCGTATCCAACAATTTTTAATCGCTTTTTAATCAACACATTAAAACTGTTCGGGGCTTTCTTCTGGTATCTTTCATTGCATTGTACAGCTTGCTGGGATTTCCGTGTTACGCCTTATACGAGACCCCCCCCCCCCCCCCCCCCCCCCCCCCCCCGACATTTTAAGACTCCTAGATATGCCACTGGA